TACACAGAAAAACAAGTTAGGATCAGCCCAGCACAGTGCACGCAGCAGGAGGGGCAGGGGACATCGCAGGGCCCCTCATGGTAAGTCTCGTTCTCATAGCAAACCCAGGACGTCAAGGGGGGACCCATCGGAGGGTTCAAACTGGGATCTACTGTTCATGGAAAGAGATTACAGGTTCTTTAGCCACTCATTAGTCCGGTCGCCTAGAGAAGCAATGTACACCTTGGAACGCAGGCGGAGTGGAGGTGCAACATACCTGGTCCACAGCAATCCCAACATTACTGAATCATACTGCCCTGTTACCCCTGAGTGGGACGTGTCGGGGGAGCTAGCTAAGAGACGAACAGAGATGCCTTTTCCTGAACCTTCACGTGGAACTTGCCAGTCCAGGGTTCAACGAAGTCACAGTCACAATCAGGACAGGAAATCGCGTCATGAGAGGTCTGATCATGCTAAAGAACGATCCCGGTCCATGGACAATTCCCTCAAAGGGCTGTCACTGGGTGTGCCAGAAGACTTTGAACCCAGTCTGGAGGAGCGCACTCATTACTATACTGACGACGGCACCCTGCGAGCCACGCAGAAATCATCTCATTACTCAAGGATCATGTTCTCTGCTGCAAAGTTCCACTCTGATTTTAATGTGCCTGATGTGGGGAAGGGAAGTCTGGATGAGTCGAGGATGAGGAATACGATAGAGCGGAACAAAAGCAGAGACAGTTTGCCAACGTATAATGAGCTAATGGGACTTTCTCCTAAGCCCTCAACAGATGAGTATTTTCAGTGCAATACATCAAATGAAACAATCCTAACTGCCCCTTCGCCTCAGGCAAAATCAGAATACGACACATTAACCTCATCAGGGGGACTCCAAAAGGGCTCTCCAGCTGACCGCCAGACGCCTCACCTCACAACTCCTCATACAGTGGAGTATAAGGAGGACTTGTCTGCAGCAAAAGGACAAAATGGCTCGGGAATGCGAATGACACCTAGCCAGACTCCAGAGCCTGTGCAAAATGCACGTTTGACGCCACATCAACACAACGTAGACCCTGGAGGGGGAGGAGGCACTATCGTAATCAAAAGAAAAGAGATCTTCAGCAAGGACACTTTGTTTAAACCTCCACACAATGCCTTGTCCACAGGCTACGTGGACAGCAGCTACACCAAGTCCGGCACATTGCGGAAAGCCTCTCATGCCAAATCAACAGAGGCCCTAGACAATCCTGAGCCCCAACAGCCTTCCAATTCAGCCACTTCCTCAGCATCACCTGCAGTCTTACAGAGCTGCTTAGAGCCAACAGTCCCCTCTGCCTCATTTGACTACTATAACGTATCAGACGATGAGGAAGAGGAAGAGACAGAGGAGGACTCGCACAAAGAGTTGGCTTCAACAGAAGACAAAAAGGACTTCGGGGAAGTGGATGGTAGTGGAGGAGTCAGTGGTGGTGTCGGAGATGGGACTATGCAGTGGCTCCTGGAGCGGGAGAAGGACCATGATCTGCAGAGAAAGCTGGAGACCAATCTGACCTTACTCAGCCCCAAGGAGACAGAGAACAGCAGCAGTCAGAAGTCAGCCCACTCTGCCCGTTTGGACAGCATGGACAGTAGCAGTGTCACGGTTGACAGTGGATTTAACTCCCCAAGGTACGTGGGGGAAAACACTTGGGTGTAGGTTGGGTGTGAGTGTGGTTATAAAAGGTCTAGCGCAGGAAATGGTTAATATAATAATCCATTAAATCAGATTTACTTGGGCTGTGGTTTGTGTGTTCATCCATGGGGGTGCATGAACAAAACTCAATTTATGAAAGAAGTTCAGTTTATGGCTACGGTTAAAAACCACAAAATAAGAAAATGTACAACAGTTAAAATGTGTCAAAATACTTGAAGGAAATAAAGTGTCTTAAACTAATTCAAGTCAATGTTATCAAGAGTTTCAAATGTGTAGCAGTAAAATGACAAAAAGGACAGTTTTCCAAAAAGAAAAAAAAAGTCACATTTTATTGACAACTTTTATGTCCATGTCACCCAACTGTTACTACAGTCTGACAGTAGACTGTAGTAACAGTTGGGTGACATGGACATAAAATCTAGATCTAGAATCTAGATTTATTTAATGCCCTTCTATCAGGTCCAGAACGCATCTCGTCTTAACCAACCCAGAAGGTGACGCATGTCACTCCTCTGCTCATTGATCTACACAGGCTGAGAGTCATTGCACGGAATAAATCACGGACGCTTATAAAATAATTGTAGGAGGCGCTCCTGCGTATATAAACTCATTGATAAAGGGTTACACATCCGCTCATTACAGGAGTGTGGACTTGTCTTGCCTCCTCCTCACACAAGGCGACCTCGGTCGTTCTCCAGCCTGGTTCCCTCGTGGTGGAACAAACCAGCAGCTGCCACTAGATCAGGCTCCTCACGCTCTTCTTTCAAGAAGCTCTTGAAAACTCTTCTCTTTTTAAAGAACATCTAACATGAACCTTTTCTTACTCTCTGACCTGCTGTGTTTACTGGCGCTTGATTGTTTCTCAAACTGTAATTTGCTTTGGATAAAAGCATCTGCTAAATGTAATGTAAATGTCCAAAATCAGTCAAAACTGTTTTGGTCACTAGTTTTCTTGGTATTCAAGATAAATAAAAGCAGCCCAAAACTACATATTGCACAAAATCAATTATAAAAATGTGATTTTATTTAGAATCAGTGGAGGAACTGCAGAGAAGTTGTAAAGGTTGATTTTCTTTTTCACAATTTCAGTTTAAAAAAAAACTAAAATGTAAAAAACTAAAATGTTCAACATTTTAATAATGTTATAGTGCAGCAAATAGTTAATAAGGAAGAAAATGTTTGCAGTCAAGGTCTCACAGGAGTTGGTTTAAAAGAAAGAAAACAGAAAGAAAATCTCATACTTTATTATGACAGGTGTAAAAATCATGAGAGATGTTTCAGATGCTAAATTACAATTATTTTAAAACAAACTATTAAAAAATAATTGTGAGAAAAAAAACATTTGTTTTTATAAAAATTTTACAGAGGTCTCAACAGGGAGTGCAACTCTAGGGGTTCTGGGTAGGTACTGCAAAGGTCGTCCGGTTTTAGTGTATAACATAGTATTATTGTTGTAGTATTGATTGATGGTGTCTCACAAAAATGTGACTATGATTTGACAGGTAGAAAGACACATCACAAAATTAAGCATAAACTTTAATCTAAAATCTCCATCTACTTTAAATTTGTGCTAAAAATACCAAAAACTACTTAGTTTGTCAGTAGTTTGTTGGTTTGTCTTTTAAAAAAGAACATATCAAAGGTTTTTAAAAGGGAGTCTGTGACTCCAGGGGGTCTCTATGGAAGTACTGCAATTTAAATACACATTAAACACGGAGATGATGATGTAGTGAATCATTTCTAATAATTTCTACTTTCACTTGTTTCCCTGTAATAATTTATAATCAGATTTAAAAAAATACATAAATGTATTTAATCTTTTCAGTTTGTTTGATTGAAACTCTATCATCGTCATGCTTTATACTTACAATTATTTATATATGTGCAAAGTTATAATGCATGTTCATGTTCTAACATTTGGCTTAAAAGGTTTGATATTCAAAAATGTTACTCTTCTGTGGTTAAATGTGCAAAAATATTTAATTTATGTCCAAAAAATAAAATAAAAAGAGAAAAACAATACCTAACACTAGGAGTCATCACCACCAGTATTATAACATGGTTTTTAATGGTAACGTTTTGGGTTTTTTTTTTTGTTTTTTTTCAGGACACGTGAAAGCCTTGCATCCAATACATCCAGCATTGTGGAGAGCAATAGGCGCCAGAATCCAGCACTAAGCCCCGGCCACATGGGTACTAGTAATATCGGACTGCCATTCAGCTTTCGCGCAATCCCAGAGCCCCCCACCACCACACCGCCTGAGAAACTCCAGAAGTCATCCAACTGCCTGGCTTCCATCACCAGCGTCTGACAGGCAGCACAATCTGAGACCATGAAGGTGGAAATGAGAGGGCGAACACGAGGTGTCTTACTATTTGGACCCTCGCTTTCCACAGCTAACACACACAGAGGAATACACACATACGCCCATAAACATTAGATTCATGAGAATCTATTTACTGGGACTGTTAGAAAAACAGGCATGGCTTCAAAAGACTGTTTCCACATCCAGAACTTTACTGCAAAAAACAGAGAAGAAAACTACAGGAAATCAAGATCACAGTAGGTGAAGAAACCTACCATCAACACTTGGATTTTGGTGACATGGACTCTAGTTTGGCTTATATTAAGATTCTTGATTATTGGTATTGGAAAGTAGTAGACTATAGGATTCAAGTTACATTTGGAAATATCAGAAAAAACACTTTTTATACAACTTAACAAAACATGTCCAATTAAGTGTTCTCTTTCCTGAAATAGCATCAAGTTCTTCAGGACAATGCAGTGTATCAGCACAATGGGGTCAACAATAAAAGCTGTTCAGAAGAACAACAGGTGACAGATATTGAAACATGAATCAGCTCAGATTTGTGTATTGCAATGCAAATGATGTATGTATACTCGATACTTTTGATATCCTAATTATTATAATGGTGGTATTAAAGATGCTATGTGACCAAAGTCACCAGAGTCAGTCTGCTGCTTTATCACAAAAGCCAAGGTGGAGGTTGCATTTAATAAAAAATCCCAATATTTAAAACAAGAGAGAGAAAAAAAACAAAAAACAAACAAACTTAAAAAACAGTAAACAGTAAAGTGAACTGATTTTGTCTGGTATTTTGAAAGGAATCTAAACATATATATATATATATATATATATATTATACTAATAATTTAGATTTTGAGATAAAAATATGGTCAGTTTTAGATGTTAAAACTTGGCCGTTTATACAGTATTAAATATTTAAAAGCGTGTGACTTAAATCTAAATTACATAAAGGTAGTCGGTCATACTGTATGTAAATGCAGCAAACTGGGGTCAAGGTTACTATTTTTATGTGAGAAAACCAGGGGTGTGACAAGATCTCATGCCTCCAGATCTTGCGAATCTTAAACGTGACGATATTTTAACCAATTGGGCGTCTCACAGAAAGGAAAGATTGTGAGCTCTCCAAACTTCTACTTGCGGGCAGTAATCCACCCAGTCCAGTGTTATTTCTGTTGATGAAAACTGTCCAAAAAAAGGTTTGTCAACAATCCTTTCATTTCTATGACAAACTTCAGCAAACAAATCAATAGAAGAAATGAAATCTCAGGGAAGAATAAATGGAGAAAAGATCAGTACCTGTAAGGTTGTTCCTGGACTGTAGGGTGGAAGTGGACCAGGTTTTTAGTGGCCAAAGGATGTCTTCAGGTTTGTTCTTCATTGACCAATGATAATTCTGTTCACTTGAATCTGCTAACTGACTGACCTGATCTGATCTTCTGTGTGTAGGACTCTATGGACCAGACCAAGTATGGAGATGGATCCTGATTGAAGGGACCAGAGGTGATGTGAAAGGCTGAGGTTTTCATTTTGTCCATCTATGGAAAGACAGTTTGTTTTATTTCTCTTGTCTTCTGTTGGCAGATGTTGGACTGGACCTTGTCCACCACAACTCATGTCCAGGAGGACTAACGTGGAAGGCAGAAACAGACTCTTCATGAAGAGCACCATTTAAAGTGGAGGAAAGCGGCGGCACGGCGACCACGTGGAGGAAAGCGGCGGCACGGCGACCACATAGAGGAAAGCGGCGGCACGGCGGCGAGTATACATGACGGGCACGACGGAAAGTGGAGCAAGGCGGCGGCACGGCGACCGCGTGGAGGAAAGCGGCGGCACGGCGACCGCGTGGAGGAAAGCATCAGCACGGCGAGGTGGCACAGGAGCTGGCTAGAAGAAAGCAGAGGCACTGTCTGCAACTGACACGGCAGCTGCAAAGAAAAATATATATAAAAATAATTTAAAATAATAATAAGAATAATAAAACAAACCACCGCTCCCTACCATGTTGAAGACCTTCATGATGACCAATCTGGAAAACAAATAAAAAAACAGAGACGAGTCACATTAACTGCTGCTAGCGTTAACTAAGTTTAGTGTGAGCACAACATTTGTCAAATATTGACTGAAACTAAACTAAAGTCTGAAATCCCAAGTTTGACTCTCACCTTGTCTTCTCAGTTTCTGAAGTGTTCATTGATGCTGGATAACTTCCACCTAGTCTCCGTGCTCAAACTCCATCTGTTAAAACATTGTTGATTACAAAGTTAACACAATAAAGACAGGTTTTATTTATTTATTTATTTATTTTTAGAAATGTACAGTAGAAGAAGCTGTACCTAAACCACTAAAATTGTAAAATATTATAAATCAAGTAAATTTTATTTATAGCCCAGATTCACTATCACATACTTTTATTGGACTTTTATATTTGACAATTTCGAATAAAGAAAGAACTTAAACTTAAAATACCTTGTAAAAACGGGAGATGTTTACAGTCAATGTCTATACAAATCAACAATACATAATAAAGCTAAATAAAGTTACTTACAAACTCAGTAAGTAAGTTTACCAACAGTGAGAATAACTCAATGAAAAAACACATTCCGACGTGGCTCAGTCTTTCTTTCTTTCTTTCTTTTTTTTTTCAAAGCCAAGCCAATAAATAAATTGTTTTCTTCCTCTCAGTGAAGTCTAGGCTATTTAGCTACAACTAACACATATGGTCAAAACGGAACAAGTACAGACTAAAATCCAAAAGTTACTTACATTTCTCCGGACCAGGTCGAGTCGCAAATGGGGATCTACATGGTCCGCCTGTGGCGTTTTAAAGCCAGTGGGAACCTTTTCAGCGTCTGACGTCACACACCACGTCCAGTTCCTCGTGGATCCCGCCATGACAATTTTGAATGACCTCAATTAGAAGTCTTCCGGTGTTAATATGTCAGAGCGCAGTTGGCACAGCGCTACGTACAGGCCGGGCATATGTACTACAGGGAGCGGAGTCCTGTTAGCGGTTCTGTTTGTTTGGCCAGATCCGAGTAAATACTCCGTATTCTGAGGCAGCTGTGTTAACAGGTCCTCAGCATTCCCTGTGTTTGACTTTGATCATTATTGTTACATTGACTTCTCATATGTGTGTGTGTGTGACACACGTGTGTATTGGACATTTATGGAAATACGGAACAAAAAGTCTGGTATAATATTAAATGGGTTAATACTGGACGCAACGTTTAATTGCCATTGCAAAATTACGATTCCGGGTGGGTGCACTGGCGGTTCTGGTTGGGGACAGCAGCGGCCAGTGCTGTCGCTGTAACACTGAGTCTGGACCCCCCGCCATCGCCCATCCCCTCCGAACGAAGATTATCCATACATCATACTGCAAGTCATTAAAATTGTGTTGTTGCGCGGACGGATTCTTTAGTACGTTGCACCACTGAAATTCGCAGCTTTGTTGATATACGGTGAGCACAAGATACGATGACCACAAACATCGTTGGGCATATCGATTTATGGCTCTAATTGACATCATGGATAGACTGCATCCAGACAGGCAGGAGTCGTTGATGATGTGTGGGTGAAGAGCTTTCGAAGAGCAAGGATCCAGCTGTAGTACAGCGATAAACACAAGACACTGTGAGAATAAAACAAGACGAGAATATAATATAGCAACTACATTTCATAAGCCTTTTTTTTTTACAGATTGCAATTATAAGCAATTGCGATACCAGTAAGTACTAGTTGTGAACAGAGATTTTATATGTTAAAGCTCATGAAAACATACCCACTGTAAGTGTAGTTAAAATGTTATCACTTGTTATATATATCGTGTCTCAAATGTTGAAGCATTCACTAGTTACACTGGTTAATAAATAATTTGATAAAAAATGTCAAAGTCTTTTTTTTCCTTGTGTTGAATGAGTCCCTCTGACAGCCCGGACCCACCTTAGCCCCTTCAGTAAAATTGGTGTAGAAACGCCACTGGACCGCTGGCGTGTATATATGTACTATATATACATATATATACATATATATACACCCACACACACATTACAATTAGTGACGGCTGGTACACAAACAGCCTCTTTGGTATTTAGTTATTTTTTAAATAAACATAATGTTAATGTGGAATATAAATAATCATAATTTGGGTAAATAGCTTTCAGCTCATCTAACTCCTAACTTCTTCTGAGCTTAGGTGGCGCTAGAAAAAGCGTCCAGTCCATGTAGCAGTGTAGCCAATTGCTGACCTGTTGTTGACATGAGATATGCACATAGCAGAATTTGTCAAATCTGATGTCTTAAGGGCGATTAATTTGTCGCCCCAGCTGAGACTCTCCGTGAAGGAGTGGATCTCAGTAGTATTAACTGACACTGTGAAACTCGGCCACATGGGGTCCCTGTGTAACAGCCAACAGCCTTTGTATAAAATATGTACAGTATATATGATTACGTCATTTGAAGTCATTACATGTTCAGTTTCAAATGTAAAACTTGTGTTTTTCAATATGCTGATGATGTTTTTGTATAAGAATGACTCAACTTCTAATAGTGGCATTAAATAATGACTTCAATTGAACTGGGATAGTTACTGAAGCTGGCTTCATATGGCACAGGCTCACTATCTGCCACTGTGTATACCGTAAATTCTGTTTATTAAACTCAAAGCACTAGTTTTGAAAAACAAGTACATTTCTACTGTATCAATGTCATGATGTTAAAAAACGTGGTTTTCTCTTTGGTTGTTGATGCTATGGTGATATCCTGTAACAGGAAGTGAAGTTCACCAAAGCGATCTTTTAATGGAAATTGACATGTTGTTTTTTGTACACAAAATCTTTATCTGAGAACCTTTTGAATTTGGATTTTGATGTTTGTCATCAGTTAACACGACGTGGGTTCCTGCGCTCATTTTAACCAAAGTTCAGCTCCCTGGAACACAACATGAAACAGCACACAGTTCATTCTTGTTTCCTGTTAGGATTTTATTGACTGATGTAGAGGACGTCTGGTTCTTGTTTCTGTGCTACTCAAACAGAAGTTCCAGATGAGAAGAACAAAAAATTCTGCAGTAGTTCAGAGTCAACTGGAGCTTGGCACATACATCAAGGTAGGAATCAACACAAAAACATGCAGTTTATACACACACACCTACATGTCCTTCACAATTTGCTGTTACACACATACTTTTAACAAGTCAATTTTAGAGATAGAATTTTGTATGCACCTGATACACCTACATGTCCTGTAGGCTGTAATGTTACAATGATCTGTTCAAATGCTAAATGGGAAAATAATGCATAAAACAATGTGTTTTACACATGCACCAGTCACGTCCCACCATGCTTGTTAGGATGTTACAAAATGAGTGTGAGAGTGACATCCCATAGTATACACTTGTTTCTAAGGCAATGTTGTAGGACTGGTGCTTTTTATTATTCTGTCATTCAGTGTCTTCTTATTTTAGCACCACTGGAGTCTTCCCTTCAGAATTGAGTCAAAGAGACTGTAGTAAATGTTCCTGTCCACTAGGAGTTAATTGCCACGATACAATTGTTGGTGTCAAATGTGAAAAATCATCAGAAAAATGGCATTCACATGCACTAAACAAAACAAGGCCTTGAACTGACATTTTGGTAACATTTTCATTCACATTTAATATATATATACACACATATATACATATATGTATATATGTATATATATATACATATACACATATACAGTATATATATACAAATATATATACATATATAAATACATATATATAAATATACATTTATATTTACTCATCTCTGAGCACTCACACACATACAAAAACACAGATTGACTGTAAGACATGACAAAAAAAGAAACAAGATTCTTCTCTAGCCTCTCGGAGCTGGGTCCAGTCCCCAGATGTCAAAAGTCATAAAAACGTCTGTCATGTTTTCGCTCAGTTACAGTAAGGTAAAAGCAGCCACGTGGTCACATTAAGTCTGCACAGTTGAAGGAGCCAGGATTCAGGAGTCAACAATGTCTCCATGATGTATTTTCTTGTTTCACTCCAGTCCATCGTAGCAGCATTTCATTATATACTGTGTTTATGTGGTTCTTATCTGTCATCGTGCATCCATTAGTGTCTCAGTAAACTGGTCTGGAACTTTTGTTGTTTTAGCTTCCACTGCACAAAGTACAACGTTGAAGAGCAGTAAAGTGGGCCCAGGCCTTATCACATTTCTTCATATCTGCAGAAACCTATCACGTATGTCTTTCTTTTGTGGTTATTACTACCCCCTGGTGGAGCCACGCAGAGGAACCCATGTTGGTGAATGTTCTTCCTCTGGTGTCTGGCCCACATCCACCACTGCCTGTCCATCCCAGATTAAGGGACATGCTGTACTTTTTTTCATTGCCATGTCAACAGGTCAGGATTAAGTGTGTCAGAGTCATACAGAGGTCAGAGGTCATTTCCTGGTGTGAAGGCTCTCCTGAAACTTGGTGCTGGTGTAATGGATGTGGAAGCCCTTCTTGCTGATTGTGTCATCGCTATGGAAGTGGATCAACATGGAGTCTCCGGGTGAGTAAATATCCTCTCGAGGCTGAGGGTAGAGAGACGTAGAGACATTTGAAGTTCAATTACATACTAACTAGTCTTTACATCATCATCAACCAACTAGTCTTTACATCATCAACCAATTATCTTAGTCTAAGTTTTGATCTTAGTCTTAGTCTCGGTCTTCTTCTTGGTCTAATTCTTCAAACTATGCTGTACTTTAAATTAATAATTTTCTTTTCTTGCCTTCCAATCTCACAGTATTTTTTTTACATTTTTTATATGAGTACTGTAGCTTCATAAAATCAAATGAAATAAAACTTTATTTTATTACTATGCTACACACAAAGGACTAAATGTACCATCATGAAAAGGTCCAGTGATTCAGATTTAAAATAATAATTTGCTCAAAATATTTTGTCTTGTAGTTTTTTCAACACATTATTATTACGTCATTACAATGTTTTTAAAATACTTGAATGGTGTTGCTGTTTCTTCTGTCCCATGTTCGAAAACTTTGTTCTTAAGACTTTAACATATACAAAAGTCATACAAATGGGTAAATGGTTAACTCATCTCCAGAAATATATTGCCCAGCTGAACTCAGGAGATTTAGCATCCCTGTGTGGCTACAGGGTGGAGCTGCAGCTCCCTAGAGAAACATTAAAAACTCACCCCTGAACCACAGAAGCGGCCCAGTCGATGTGACTTGGTATCATAACCATTGAAAAGTTCAATGTAGTCATAACCACAGTCAGCTTCCTCCTCCACCTCGAACGTGACGAAGCTCAGCTCGATGCCGTAGCCTCGTTCTACCGTTAGCAGCCACTCACAGTCAATGTGACCCGGGTAATTGTTGTCTCCAAACTGGGAGTGGGAGAAGAGGTTCTTCTGCCGAGCATCTGCTTTTAGACGACCTCCACACTCTGCAAAAAGACACAACAAAAATATAAAAATAGGTTTACGGTCTGTAAATTTTGGACTTTTCATGTCAGAATAGGAAAAACTAAAACTCCATGTTTAAAGAAAATGTTCAGAAAAGTCGTATTACCACTTGATGGCAGTATTGTACCAAACGGCATCACATTTTGGCACAAGTGACTGTCCATTCAAAACGTCGAAACAAATCAAGCAAAAAAAAAAAAAACCAAAACAAAACAAACAAACAAAAAAAAAACAATGAAAGTGAGAAAAATTAAACAAAGACACAATCATTCATCAACCTGTGGAGTGTGTGGCCTGAAAACCCTTTCTTTGAACCGAGGCATCAGAGATGAAGCGCAGATACATCTTGTTCCCAGTGGAAATCAGTGGTTGTGGAATTTTACTGCCACACAGTCGAGCCAGGATGGCTGCAGTGTCCGTGTCCCCGTCGAAGGCCTCCAGGTGGTCGTAGGCACACTCCTGATGCTGCTCCATCTGAAACTCAGTGAACGACTGGACCAAAAGAGACAGAGAAAACGTCGGATGAGTTGAAAGAAGAATGCATGAAATAACATTTAATAACATTTAATTTAACCAGGTGATAGTGGAGTTCTAACCCTGATTGAAGCTGCGTGTGTTCAACCTGCTGCATCCTCAGGGGAAAGACTGAGATCATGTGTATATTTGAAAAAGTTAGAAGAATGGGTTAGGTTTATGTTACAAAACCTGTGTTGTGTGTGTGTGTGTGTTACATCACAGTCAATTTATTCCATTAAATACGAACAAACCACAAACATATTTTCTTCCTTTTTTACTGCCAGTGTTCTTCAGGGTCAGGGTCAGGGTTAACCCCTTCATCAACACCTACTTCAGCCCCTCACCATCATTTTGAGCTGATGATGTCATGGCAGCTTTAGAGATAATCAGAAATAAAATGATGAAGGGATTCATCCTATTTTTTTTTTAGGTCAACATTGTGTTTGTGTCTGAACTGCTGCTCCATAAACCTCGTTGAACACGTGTGTGACGTCGGCTCTTTCTGTTACACAGTAAAAAGACACAGATGTCCAGATGCCCCAGGCCTGAGGGCAGCACAGACTCACAGTTACCCCAGATATAAACATGTCCTCATTCACAGTACAGACATGAACTTCACTTCACTACAAGACGATGGGTGAATGAAGTATTTGACAAAGTATCAGAGCAGAAATACAACAACAACTTGATGTTTTTCCTGCACACTCACAATCTTCACCCTGTGACCCGGGGTGGCTGTGATGTCCCACGTGCACTCCTTACGACTGGGATACTTGTCCGGCCAGTTTGGGCTGCTCAGGGTCCCAGTGGGGCTGTGGAGCTTATGCTCACACTCAGCTAGACACACACACACAGAGGAAGTTACATTTGTCGCTGCAGGAAAAGGTCAGAGGAAATTGAAAGGGAACAGGAAGCAGAGAAACGAGAGAACGACTCTAGACAAAAAAAAACAAACATCTTAAAGGAACACATCCTGCCTGGTGACATGTTCTGTACAAACTTCATTAACACCATGTTCTGGTCGTTCTGTTGCAGAAACAACACTGACTGTTTTCATCTATAATGAGGCAGCATAATAAAACAGTTTACTTCACTCGTCATAAAAATAAAACCTTGACGACCTGGAAACTGTCTGTGGTTTATTATCATAACCACGACGTTGGTTGTAGTAAAACTGTCTGTGGTTTATTGTATTCAGTATGTGTTGTATTTAGTAAATGTACAGACGATAATGTCAAAAAACCCTAAATGTATAAATATTTAATACAATATGTTGCAACATAATTACTTCAACAATGGAAAAGAAAAAACATCTTCATCTCAGAAAGACCACGACCAACATCAGCCAATGAAAGTGAACTATTTGGCAGTTCACTTTCTCTTTCACTTGTCATTGTGACACAGCACACCACTGCACACTACCAAATGTGACCTCTGCTTTTAACCCATTATCACAGCCAGCAGGAGGCAGCTTTGGGCGCCAGAGCACCTCAGTTGTAACTTGGCGGACTCGAACCTAAAACCTTTCAGGCCCAAGTCTGCGTCGTTAACCACTAAGCCACCACAGTATATACAGTATCATATTTACAAACATAAACAATGGATTAATATCAAATCCACCAGTATAAATGTGTAAAACAGTTTAATAACAGCAGTCGTATTTCTATAGTTCTGATGATATTTAAGGTCAGGACAAGAGATTAGTGCAGGGTGACAGTAGAGGTGAGAGTTGGAGGTAAATCTGTGGTTCCAGTCATGGTTGAAGTCACTTCACAATCATTTAGTTTGAACCATGAATTAGAAAAGACTGCAGTTAAAAAACTGGTATTGTTTTTTTGTCATGGCTTGACCGGTGGGTGTCTAAAACACACACACACACACAGAGCATTTCAATTTCCAGATGTTTGTAACATGAGTGTTTTTATGAGCAGCCTTTGGTGAGTTGTATATGAGGCTGTTAGTTGTGTGTGTGTGCGTGTGTGTGGGAAAGTGCTAATGACTTTAATAAAGTGTTTTCTGTCAGAACCGTCACCATTGTAAACTTCACCACAGGTAGTTGGAGTTATAAAGGAACTCTCTCTATAAAGGAAGTCCACTAACAAGTCATGTGACAAGAGGTCAAGTCATGTGACAAGAGGTCAAGTCCCAGTCATGAAACAGACGTGTCAGGTTGTAGTTCTAGTACAACGGAAGGGACTGTCATTAAAGTGTTCATGAGCAGACGGTGACATCACTATGTTGTCCTTTTAATGACATCATTTGTGGACACTTTACTAGTAATTAATGACTTGGTGCTAGTTACTGTCAAGGATGGTTTTCATGTTGTAGTTAAACTGGGTTAAATTGAGGACAATAACCTCCGTTAGCATTAGCTCAGAAAACCTGACAGCATTTCTGACCATGGCTTTGTATTTGCTGGTCCAGTTTTTGCTGGTCCAGATTTTGGTCCTGTAGTGGACTGAGTTAGTTGACCTCAGTGTCACGCAGCCACAGGCATCTTAAAGAAAAGCTGTCTCAGGGTTCAAAGGTCACACCCAGTTAGGAGACATTTCTCCAAACTTCTTTGAAGACATACCTATATTCTCTACAAATGATACACATTTACTTTCTGTTTTCTCTCTCTTGGGCGCCATCTGTCTGACTGCGTTTCTTGCGTTTCTGACTCTACAGTACTACAGTATTTTTAGATTTAATTAAAGGTTTAGAGTCATTTACTGAACTTATTGTAATATATGTGGGTTTGGAATATGTTGTCAAAAATAATAATACATTAAATATTATATCAAATATATATATATGTATATGTTGGACCCACCTTCCTTACAGTCATGTTTGTTCTCATGCAGCACAAAGCCGTGACGACACTGACACACATACGAGCCCACCGTGTTGATGCACTCGTGCTGGCAGCCGCCGTTGTCCTCGCTGCACTCATCTTTGTCTGTGAGACACACACATATTTGTTAAATCCAAACAAAAACACATTTTTCCTTCACTGTGTCCTGAAATCACAAACCACATAAGACACACACACACACACACACACACACACAGGAACATGCTGTGTCACCTGAGAAGAAGCGAGCCTTGAAGCCTTTCTTGGAGACGGTGTTGTCGGACTTGAACTCTATTCTCATGTTGTTAAACTGGGAGGTGATGACCTCGGGAATCTCGTTGCCACAGTATTTACCGTGAAGTTTGGAGTCAGATGAGAGGCCGCTGCGCACCTCCACGTAGTCGTACTTACACACCTGTCCATTGTTCAGAGAAAGTACAACTTTTTACTGCTTCAAAGAGTTTCTTTCTCTTTTTGCCGGTGCGTTCCGTGCGTTCCGTGCAGCTCACCTCGTTTCCCTCCAGCTCAAAGTCCTCAAACTGCAGGGAGATGCGATAGTGAGCGGGGGCCACCACCTGCCACACACAGTTCTTGTTGGGTGGATATTCTTTGGGCCAACCAGGAGTGCTGATGGTCCCATTCAGCTTAGAGAGAAGTCCACCACACGCAGCTACACTCACACACACACACACACACACATTTATGACCGAGTCAGAAGGAGAGGCTGGTGCTGTCGACCAGCTGCTTAAAATCTGGGTTCTGACCCTGAAGTTTGTTTTTAAATATATTTGGTTGATTTTTAGGTGTGAATAAAAATAAAAATAAAATCCTTCAACAACAGAATGTGCCTTATTTTCAATCTTCTTTTCTGTCTTGGTGTCAATGAGATGTTTTGATTTTTTTGACCATCTAGACCCTTTTAAAAAGGCTGTGGATACACTTTTGAAATAAAAGGTCAAACCTAGGATGTGGTATAAAAGGAGTAAATTATACCTGGTAGTACTTGACCAAAACAAGCATTTCTAAATGGATTATTCAAAAAGATCACTGTTGTGGAAAATGTACTTTCATAGACACGCGTACATAACGCACACACATCTGTAACTCATTAACTCATGAACTCATTAATTACAACACTATGTTTATGTATATTTTATATGATCCTTATGAGAGTTTGTTTTTCTTGGATTAAAAAGTTTTTTCCTTCAGTTTTATTCTCTAACGATGCTTTACATCAAAGCACCTGAAACTAATCCTCAATAATTAGTGTTTCTTGGCGACGGCAGTGGAAGTGCAGTCTGAACTGATGTGTGTAAGTGACACGCCTGAACAATGGATTGGTTCATGTCAAAAATGTTTCACAGCAACAAAGACTCTGGCGTCGACTCAGTCATTCCAGGTGTTTTTTCCTGCTGCCCTTGTTTTTTTTCTTATGATCAGTTGAACTCACATCCTACAGAAACACACACACACACACACACACACACACACACTCACACGTTACCTTCACAGCTCTTCTTGTCAGCAGCCAGCTCATAGCCAGGGTCACAAGCGCACTTGAAGCTGCCAAGCGTGTTTACACACCTCTGTTCACATCCACCGTTGTCCGGCTTGGCACATTCATCCTCCTCTGGAACCACACATCACGTCAAGGCATGTTTTCACACATGCTCCGCTCCAAAGAAAAAAGAAAAAAGAAAGAATACGCACCTTTGAAGAAGTTTGCAGCAAAACCTGCCTTGTTTACCGTCCCGTCTGAGACGAACTTCATCCAGAGTGTGTGAGACGTGGAGCGCACGTCCTCCGGTTTGTCATAGCCACAGAAGCGACCAATCAGGGGACTTGTTTCTAGTGGGCCATCGCGAACCTCCAGGTAGTCGTATGCACAGCTGTCGTGCCTCTCGATCTACAGAAACGTTGATGTTGGTTGTTAATAAAGGCCGTTCAGTGTTGCAGCAGCAGAACCAGAACCAGGTTCTGGGTTAGTCCTGTTCTAATAACCAAGACAAGGGTTGGACTTTTAACATAAATCAACCATGTTCAGGTATCACAGATCAGATCGTCCAAACTGCATTTTAAGCTCCCCCTGTGGTAATGTAGAGGAAATGACCATCTGCTCTACCTGTAAATGATGATGAAGTAAAAACTAAAGTCATCCTTGAAAAATGGTTTCTGATCATCGATCATTACACTGAATAGAACAGAAGTGTTAGTGTGTTAGGTGGGGGGACCCACCAACCCACTTGTTCATCTGTGTGTCAGTGCACTCTTACCTTCGAGGCATTTCACACATACACACACACGTACACACACATCTTGAGGCCTGACTTTGGACCCAGACTCTCTGAACCCACACACAGTAAGATGCAGGTCTGTCACCTCGAAGGCCTGGAAGTTGAGTCCCACGTTGTAGCCCTCGGACACAGAAATCATCCACACACACTCTTTGGAGGGTCTGTAGTCGTCGGGATAGTTTGGAGACTGGATCTGACCTGAGTCCTTGGTGATGTCACCGCCGCAGATGGCTGAACCGGAGAGAAGACCAGCTAAAAAAGTTTGTCCTTCCTATTGATTTTCTCCAAAGTATTGGCCTGCAGGGAAAACTGTGGACGCTCTTTCCTGATTGGTTTAAAGACTTACCTTCATAATTGGCAGCGAAGCCCTTCCCCACCCAGTTACTGCTGCTGCGGAACTCGATCCACATTCTGCTGTCAGTGGAAATCAACACGTCAGGAAGTTTATCTCCGCAAAACCTGCCTACACACACACACACACACAGACACACACACACACATGCACACAGAGAAAAAACAATGAGCATCTCTAAGTAACTTTAAAAGGTCATGGAAGTTCTCTAAGGTCAACGTGAGGTCAACGTGAGGTCAGGTGGGACAGCGCCCCCGGTGACCGGACCTTCACCCTCAGTTGGCCTCACCCAGCAGCGGAGCCTTCCTCCAGTATCCATCTCTGACCTCCATGTAGTCGTACCAGCACAGGCTGCTCTTGTACAGGTCCATGGTGCTGAAGTTCAGAACAATCTGGAAGAATTTATTTCACTTTAATAAATCACAGTTTAGAGATTAATTTCCACCACAGACAAAGAGAGAAAATGGCGTCGTTAGGGTGAGAATAGGAGTGACATCATCATCTGTGACAACAGTCTGAAGTGATGCTGGTAAAATATTTGAAAACCAACATTTGGTCAAGAGTCATTTTCTTTCATCTTGAAATCACTCAGTTTCATCATATTGACAGAGCTTCACTTCTTCGGTTCCTAATGAACATCGTTTTTGGTTTGGTTTATATCAGAATTGAATTTGTGGAAATAACTCTGTCCGTTTGTTAGCTTCCCATTAAAGTGGAGTAATGAGTCTGTGGTCTCCACTGACAGAGACCTCCACTGTCAGAGACCTCCACTGACAGAGACCTCCACTGACAGA